AAATCTAACATGTTTTACTACTTACTCAATACACGTATATGTCTGTTTATATGGCTTGGACATTATAACAAACTTTACTAACAATTGATTGAGAAAAAGTAGACAACAGTAATATTGAGTATATAACTCTCAAAAGTTTTGACTTTTTTTTTTCATTTTAAAATACTACCAGTATATATTTTTTTAAATAAAAAATATACCATTATGTAATTCTAGAGATAAACAAAAATTGTTGTTCTGCATGAATGTGAAGTATTTAATCAAATTTTCTCAATAAAAGACTGATCAAGTTTTGCTTTATCACATTTCCAAAAAATATCTGTATTAAGTAAAAAAAATTACTGCAGAATGTAAGATGACCAAAATATTAAATAACTTTAAATTCTGTTTGACTGTTGTGGTTCTAACATAACTATAGCTAGTACTTGAAACTAAAATGCATATATCCCCATTGATTCATATACATATATACCATAACCTATACCACCATGATACACAAAATAATACATTATATACATATATATATATAAATATATAAACTTTGACTAATTGTTTCATTTATCGTTGAAACTCTTCATTAAATGCATATTTAGCAACTTTGTTAAATTTGAAATTTTGTTATCACCTGAAGAAGTGTCCAACTGAACTACTGACTTAACTATGTTACAGGATTTTTGATCTAAGAATAATACATTCTATCTAAAAAGAATTTTTCAAATTGAAAGATATTGCATCAAGCCAATCCATGTGTATACTTTGATACTAATAAAAAAAAACCTAAATTTAAAATGAATTCTGAATGTTATATATCTTGACATCAGTGACACAAGTCTTTTAAAGAAATCCTCACTGATTTTTTGCACAGTTTCGACAGTTAAAATTAACAAATACTTGTTAAATCATAAGAAAAGATAGCAGAATGAAAATCATGGAGTTGTTAAAGTGAAAGAATGTGATTTCATGAGAAAAACATTTTAAACCAGTGTAGTGACAAAAATAAAAGAATGAAAAAACAAATCCAAACATATATTTGAATATTTACCATTTTATAACATAGATTCTCATAAACTGGTTATATTAGAGGCCATCTAATCTTAAAAAACGGTGTAATAAAAACTATCTGTCACTTAAAACCTATCCTCCCCAAAGGTTTTGATATCATAAACAAAAGCCTGAGATGAAAACAGACCAACTTGAACTTGTTCAATTTAAAAGATCAACTCATTTTCTCATAATTACACAGTTTAAAAAGCACATATGTTGTAACTTAACAAGTATACATGGTTATTGAGCCGACTCTGTAAGTTGAAAAACTTCGGGCTTGTAGTCACTGCCTCGACTAATAGCTTTTGATCTATCAATTTCCAATTTTGATGCTTCTTCAAGCTCACGTTCTTTATCGAATTTACTTCCATCATGAACATGTCTACGCCTTACAATGTCCCTATAGGGATGAAGGTGGTATACAAATGTTTCCCAGTTGACGTTTTCAAGTCCAACTTCCTTAATCTCGGCCATCTTTTTTTCGATATAAATAACTGGATCATCTGGTCTTTCCAGCATTAGGCAGCTCAGAAGGCTCTCAAACATCTGTGGGATTTTGTGTGTGGACAAATAACGTTTGGCCTGTTCCCGAGAACTTGCTGTTTCTGTTGCCATCTTAATGTGAAATTTGATACAAATCTATGGCAATGAACAATGTTTTGAACCAGGCAGGTAGCACGCTAAGTGCTAATGGCCACTTGGGTTTTATGGAAAGACTGTTCACTGGAAAAGAGAATGAAATTCTGTAGAATACTGGATTTTTAAAACAACATTTATTGTAGTCCTCATGTCGTAGGGATTTTTTTGGGGGAAACTTTCATAGAATGATTGTTTATATTCAGACTGAAGCATTATGAAAGTTACTCAAAAGTATGAAAATTATGTTTTTCAAAGTAGAATTTGTAGCACTTTCATGATTTTTTATTTTGCCAAATTTGACCACTCTTTGCACAGCAAAGTCCTCTAAATATATAGTACCTATAATAATTATAACAGATTTCGAAACAAAGCAGTCACATGACTATACATTAAACACATGGTTTGTGAGATTCTATTTGAAAAGAATGTGTCACAAGGTTTGTTTAGAAAAAATCTATGTTTTATACAGTAAACATATTTTGAAACACCTGTAATTTGATTCAACCATGAGAAATTTCACTCTGAAGAATACCTGTTGAAAGACTGACAGGTAGGTCATGTTAACTTAAGATTCCCAATGCCACAACCTTTGGAATTCCGTGCGCCAGTGTGAAAGAACAGGGAAAATACATTCTCTAGCTGATTGACCCAACTTGGAATCAAACCCAAGCTTGATTATCCAGTCCAGTCCTTTTACAAAATCAGACAAACCATGAAGAAATGGAGTTCTCCTCCAACAACTTCTGTCCCTTACAGTCACTAACTTGTCCCACGTTTTGTATCAATAATCATTAATACAAATATGGTAAAATCATTTCATATTTGACAATGCCTGTTGGTCATTAAAATCCTAATCATCATAGATTTAATCAGAAGTCAGTATATTGTAAGTAGAGGGGTCATCTACTTTGGTTTTATCTAAAATATTTACTGAAGTAAAGGTTAGTTGATGGAAACAAAAAAAAATGACCATTGCACACTTAGATTGATATAAATGTTACAGACTGCACTAGACTGTTTAGTAGACGAAGTAAATTTACAACACCTAATTTATCTCTCGAGTGTAAGGAATAAATAATGTATCCTATCCAGTATACAAAGATTACCATTCCCTTTGTCTCCTCACTTTGGGTATTGTACCGCTTTGATACAAGTGGGCTTAATCGCTTGGATAACAGCCAAATGTCTTTGTCCTGTCAAAGTTTAGTTTACCAATTAAAAAAGTTTTCGAACTTTCATAATTTCCCAAAAACATCACAATTTTAAGGACATGTTTACCAAATTCGTATTCTCTAATCAAGTTTCAAATACCTTTCTTACCGTCTTATCGAAATGTCCTGAAGGAAGTACAAATCCCGGCACATGTCATCTGAAAATCCGCCAGAGTCTGTCGCCTTGGACGCATTAGACAATATAGACGGAGCTAGTATTTTTTGTTTTCGTATTTTTCAAATTTTACGGTGACTTTTTAAAAATAGAATAATATATGTGTTAAAGATATAACATAGACCGAATTATAATTAAAGAACTGAGTTAGAACACCCAAATGAAATAAAGGGGATTTACCCAAAGAATTTTCGAAAACAAACACCCCGACCGTATCTATTGAAAATATATCCACTTCCTGTTTCCGTTCTGGTGCAGACGGTTTTGGTATGGTTGCGGAGGAGGGACACATATTTCTTCAAGTAACTGCCCGTCAAAGCAAAAGTGTGACAGCTATCTTAATGTTACAAATCTTCCTCTTAATAAGGCAGTTGAAAGTTTTTACCCAAATTGTTGTAATTGTCGATAATTAATGCGTCTCTGCATCATCGATATCATCACACTAAAAATGTAGCGAGCTGTGTTGATAAACACAAGTGATAAAAAGTGAAAATTCCTCCAATAAAATCGAATTTCTATATTTAGTTCTTCACGTCTTCCGGCGTTTGAAAATATTTACTATCACCCATCACATTTAAAAATAGATATATTTTGTAGCAGGAACTCATCGGCCAACAGAACATTTCATGAAGTGGTGTTTAAAAGTCATCTTCAAACTTTTTAATACAAGCCGAATCTAAAAGAATGTGTTGCTGAAGTGACAGCTGTTCTTCTTTTGGATGACTTGATTCAGTCTACAGTGTGTATTCCGTTTGATTGTACTGCTTCATCACCATGTCAACAAAGTTACATAAGAACTAAGACATAAGAAGAGGCTTGTGATACAACAAAAACTAACGATGTCATCAGATGCAGCGCTACCTCTGGTTCAAAAGAAACTAGACACGAGTGAAAAATGTGTTATAATATCCTTTTGAAAATATACTTGTGCACATGTGTTGACTGACTTTTAACACTTTACCGAGATGACTTCAGCAATGGATTAATAAGGCCAGATGAATGTCAGTATCAAGATAATTTATATTATGTAGCAATTTTTCAAGTCTAATGAAGATGATCAAACCTACTGCAAAACAAATAAATAGGAGAAAAAAAAGTAAAATTTGAATATGATTAATAAAAGACAATGTCGTTAAAGACTAAAAACAACACAATATGAAGTACAGTGTGTTTGAGAAATTCCTAAACTTTTCAATACCCTGTAACCAAAAGATTACAATTTGCTTTGAACATTTATTGCTAACTGAGTATGATTAACTGTAACAGAAACAAAATCAATTTAACTTGTATAACATACAATTGTAACAAAAATTATTCTCTTTAAATAAATGAAAATATATTCTGGAATCATTGAGTGTGGTCCAATCAGTTATTAAAAAATGTTATGTTTTAAATGAATGGGTTTAAAGCAAACAGTGATTATTGAGCATTAATAAAGAGGAAATAGCATAATGAACTTGGATATATTCTACAGTCAGTGATAACGCTTATAGTAAATTAAGCCACATTGTCACACACTTTTGCCAGATGAGAAAAGAGATATGACTCAACTTGTTTGTAGTTATCTTTTTGTTGTTTTTGTTTTTGTTTCATTATTCCATAAAGGAGTTAAACTTGTTTTCAAAAATGTTTCACATATAATACAGGCACAAATTCTTTCCAGTTTCTGATTTTAGGTGCACACTTTTTGCGTTTTGAGAGCTGCATATTAGATGCCCAAAGGCCATTGTAATGATATATGTAAAACTCAGCTGATAGGTCCTCTGTGTAAAATTTAAAACACTTTACCAAAGATCAATGATGGATTACTCAGTCTTAGCTATGAATTGTTGTCGTTTTTTTTTGCCTGATTATTTACTACTTTTAGATAAAAGATGTCTGCATATTTGTTAATTGTTATTCCTTAACTTACTCACTGTCTGAGAGGGAAGATGCTTCTTGGAAATTCCGAAGGCAAATTAGACCGTTATATTTGTTTGATTTCACGGAAGGGAGATCATGTGTAAGTATGTCTGTGCATTACTGTTGCGTATTATCATTTCTCCTCTACCCACCACCATATGAAAAGGATAGAGCCACAGTCGTATTTAATCTTTTACTGAAACAATAAGAAGACTGTGAGTATGTGAGTATTTTCTCAAATTATCTATTGACCCTTGTTTGCCTTTAATAATACAAGATTTCCTATTAAAACAGATCAACATTGGCATCTAAGTGTGATACTTAAAAAGTAAAGTTAAACATATAAATTATACCATTCAATAAGTGATGCTATAAGATGTGATGGACAAAATTTTATTGAAGTGGTCGAGTGCATTTTTAAACAAACAGATAATTTTTATAAGAATGAACAGTTGAAAATATAAGATATTGAACAGAGCCTATTTTAGAGGGAAAAAGATGCTGTTTTCTGGTAGTTGACTGTGACGACTCCTATATAAGTATATCCTTCCTGCCTACATGGAAAAATACACTGTTAGTTAAGTGTTGTGATCACTTTGTGTTTACCAGTGTTAATTTAAAATGATGACAGGAAATCCCAATCTGATACATGGTTTGTTTTCTCATCCTCTCTCTGTGTTATAGTTTCTAATCATTTATGACATTTACTACTTTTGATTGTATGACCTATATGTTATCATGTAGAACAAAAATTATGTATGAAGGACAAAGCTTTATAAAGTTAGTAAAACCAATCTTTATTGTGATAGAAAAACATGTTTACACTTCCTGGTAAACTAATGCTTTAAGATTTGTTTATGAATATTATGGTATATCTCGTAACTTTGTAATATTTTTTTATTAGGGAACCATCAAAGCAGTTTTTCATGTGCTAGTTCTACCAAATTCAAGCCTGTCACTGCATAAGTAAAATTGTTTCTTTTATATTTTCAAAATAAACTCTATTTAATCTTGAAAACAGCTTCATCACAAAAATAATCAGAGTTACAGTGATCTTCTCAGTTACAAAGTTTTTTTCTTTTGTTTTTTTTTTTATTATCTTTTGTTTCTTTTTTTTTTCCCAAATGGTTCAAATTATGTGGTTTCATCAAAAATGAAGTTAAAAGGGGTGTATTTTGCAGGGAATTCATAAAATTTGGCTAGTGTATTCATTTTTTTTGTTGATTTTTATTTTCCAGGTTTTATGACATCCTCCAAAATATCCCCCCCCCCACTTCCCTTTCTCTTTCTCTCTCTCTCTAAAAAATTTATCAAGCTGTACGGTATATAAGATGTGTCATATGATCAGTTTTTGGCTCAACTTCGTAGGAGGAGTGTTCCAAACCACTATTGTGTTTTACAAGAGTAATATGTGTCCATTTTACCTGTATGTATTAGTCAGTAAAAATGTATGCTATATCCAACAATAAGTTCATGCTTAATAGGACAACTCATAAACAACTTTTGGTCTGAAGATTTACAAAGAATTTCTACTTCATATTCCTCTAATAAGCCCACTTCCTGAGTTTGACCGTCGGTCCCTTTGCAGATTGCATAGGATGTAAATGGTTTGTATCAGCCGTTGTTCCTAGTGTATATAACAAAATCAAACATTTTGTCGTCACAAGAGAAATAAATCAAAATTATGTGGTGTTAATTTCAGTGTTTCTATGATTTTTGTAAATGTTCATTATTTATTACATTTCAGTATATTTATATACTCCTCCTCACGAGTTCCGTGTCTGATCGCAGATGATCTTTGTCTGGAGGCTGTTTTCCCTGTCGACAATAACCTACAGTATACAACAGGTAATGCCCTTACCAGGTAGTGTTGAGAATTTCCCAGACCAAAGTTATATCAAAGAGCAGGTTTCCCTTACATTCCCTCATTAGGCAATGGAAGACAGGTTTTCAAGTTTGAATTTTCAACAGTTGTTTCATACTTGTGCATCAGATTTGGTTAGAAGAACATCCTGATCAGGTGGTGTGTCATGTGGGTCACTGTGACCTCTGTTTGACCTTTCACTTTGATACTTGTCAAAGTGTGTAAAGTCTAGATTTCTGCATCAAGTCCTGGCAAAGATTTCATGAAATGACATCAACATTAGCATACTGGTACATCATCTTCCTGTCAATGAGTTCAGATGGCCTTAGTGAATCAGAACTTTATTGTGACTCTGGCCGGTTACCCTGTACTATCATATCTATCCAGTAGCTAATGGATGATAATAAGCCAATCCATATCAATTGCTGTAGAGCACAATCTAAAAGAGACTATTTCTTTGTCCTGTAACAAGCCCACCCCATATCTTATACTGTTCAATAGAATCACCAACAAACCTATCTCATTGTCCTGTAATAAGCCCACCCCATATCTTATACTGTTGAGTCACCCACAAACCTATCTCATTGTCCTGTAACAAGCCCACCCCATATCTTATACTGTTGAGTCACCCACAAACCTATCTCATTGTCCTGTAACAAGCCCACCCCATATCTTATACTGTTGAGTCACCCACAAACCTATCTCATTGTCCTGTAATAAGCCCACCCCATATCTTATACTGTTGAGTCACCCACAAACCTTTCTCGTCCTGTACAAGATTGTAGCACAATAATGAAAAATAATTGATTATGTTTTCAATTGCTTCTATCAAGGAAAAAAATGTTTTCAAAACAATGAGGATTGATTTATTTAGAAATTTAGAATTGATATTGTGAATTATAGAAGCTTGAAAATTTTATTTGATTTTGAATGATTTTATTTTCAGATGTGCCGAAGAAAGGACAAGGAGGTAAGATTGGATTTTTCTACAGTTCTAGTACTACGTAATAAACTCTGTCGCTCTCAACATGATCATCAATCGAAAATCTTACATTGGATGATTATCAAACTTGAAATTCAAATAGTAATTTCTGACTTCGCTATTTGTATATGGATACTTTTTACCGGTTTGTTGGTTTACTTGTTTTTTCTATGAGAGTGTTCTAGATGTTTATGTTGGTTTTAATTTTTAAGATAACATCATATTAAGAACACTTCATTGGGATTGAAATGATGTTTTCAGTATTGCTTTAACTCCGAATATGTATGAAAAAGTATTAGCAAGGTATTGAAATTCATAAGCAGTTTTCTTTGTTTGCGAAAAAGCCCTAGAATTATCTATACCTCATTCAATTAAATTCTTAGAAATTATGTTTGATAAAAATATTTGACTTCAATTTTATTTCTTTGAACATTGAGATTTTATCAACATCTTATAGGCAAATGAACCTCATCAACACTAAGACATATTGATTAATTTTCAGTGAAATGCCTACTTGGACTGCGAACTGTTGACAAAAACATTCATATAGAACTGAACAATGATGGATCAAGCCAGAAATTGTTCTTAGAATTAAAAAGAACATCAAGTGGTATGTCTATATATTGTACTGTTTATATATACACCTGTCTGAAAAGGGAGGTAACTGGAAAAGATGACCAAGAAAGGCTTCAAAATATTTCATAGACTGGTAGTTGTGTGATGTTTTATTTAAATTCACTTTTAAGGCCAAAATAAATTTTTTTTATTAAGATTACACTACATATAATGAAAAAAAATCATGGTTAGGGAATTTACCATCCTTTTTTGGCAATATTCTTCATATATATAATCAAGAATTGGGATTAATTTTAATAAAATTAAAACTATATATTTGAAAGGAAGGGTAAATTTTAGTGTTTTTTTTTTTTTTTTGCTCACTCATGAATAAAGGTTAAAGAAGCAATAAAAACAGATAAAATTCTCCAATGATGCTTGATTTCTTTATTGAAATAACACAAGAATTGCGATGTCTATCTGTATGTTTATACTATGTATTTAACAGTTATGTTATGAAATGTATACATATAAAGATAATTATATAAAGATTGATGTTCCAAGGTTCTATCTTTTTGTGTCTCTCTTTTTCTCTGTCCCTCTCTGGTACCCCACTTTGCATGGCAATTATACATAGATTTATTGGTGTACTTATTACATTATATATCCACATTTACAAAAATCACATGGTTTGCACAGGTGAGGATGTAAAATGGTATAAGTTTGAAGCAAGCATTTTAAAAAGTGTTTTTGTTGTTTTCTGTTGCCAGTCTCTGAACCAACCAAAACGATTTAATAATTTAAAGCTTAACCCTGTAGGTTTTTTTTTCTGCTTAATGTTATGTTATATACATATCCTTATTTTGATTTCAATAATTCTTTTGATGCAGCTGAGAACCTTACAGGCAAAATTTAATATCACGTCTTATTTACAAGTAATGAAAGCATAAAATTGATTTTTAGTGAGAAATTTTATATATGATACGGATTTTGAGGACACTAAAGAGAAATTTTGTTGATATATAATACACATACAGATCTTGTCATATAATTAAAAAAAAAAACCTATTTCAGCGTATTCAGTGACGTCATCCATGGGACTCCCATCTTCCTTCAGCTGGCTAGAGAAATACCAAACCCTTATACAAGGGTCACCTCCATCCCCTCAACCAAATGATAACCCTTTTGCTAATGATGTGTTTGACCCCTTAAGATACATGAATGTTGACCCGGCTCCCCCTGAAGCCGTGCCAGGTTGGTGCACACACAAAAAGATCTTTCATGGTGTGGCTTTGTGTATCTCTGTGTAGCCCTGCATGCTTTGTGAGACCTTCTCCTCAGTAACTATGTAATACATCTCTTTACCTCAATTCTGTATCCTTCCTTGTGTGAATTCTTTAAATTTGAATGTTGTAGTTTTTTTGTTTTAACAAAGCCATAATTTTGCAAAAGCGAAGAATTCGGGTTTTGAAGGAAGTTTTTTCCATAATTATTTGAAATATAGGTGCTGATCAATCTTGTGTCTTCTTTTGTAACTGTTGTGGAGACCTCTGTATTTTCATAAATACATTTCCAAAAATAGATATGAATTTTTTCATATTATTTATTTATCTAATTACTAGTATTCCTTTTTTCACTCTTTGTAATGAATCATGAAAATATTATGCATGCAAATTTACTAAGATTTCTTCTTTGAAGTTTAATCAGAAATGGAATTAACAGAATATTCACTTACATAGACAGAAGTCAGAACACTAATCTACTTATGAGTGTATCTCCATTAAAATTTGCTTATAATCTTAGCAGAATATGTTTCAGTTTGAGAAAAATGAAGAATTTCAAGACAAAAATATTTGAAAATTTCAATTCCTTTTTTTAATAAAATTAGAATGAATACTTTCACTCTGAAATCTAATGGATATTTCAGTATACAAATATGCGTGAGAGAAACAAATTTTAAATATGTTTTCTTGAATCTTAAACATTAACAAGGTCATTGACTGGATTAATATTTGTCTATATGTGACTCCTGAATATTCCAATTTCCTTGAATCAGAGACATGATTTGAAAAGTATTATTATTGATTAATTGAAATTATTGTTGACAAAATATGTTGGATATAACTTGCTCCATGCTCTTCGAAAACCAAAATTACTATTATAATGCTTTGACTGTTTTTTTTTTTTTTAAATCTACCAAATGATACTTGCATGTCCTGACATTATGTCCAATCAGAATGGTTATGATTAGACAGTTTTATGGAATTGGTTTGTTTTGTTTGGTCAATAATTAATATCTATTCTGTAGCATTGTTTATGTTGAACCTTGGACTGTTTAATGTATAACTTATATATCATATTTCCCAGGCATGTTTTTTTTGTGTGTGTGTATTTTTAACATATGAGAGTGACCTCCCTTGTATTGTCAGTTTTGTTTTGCGTGAATTGTGTAGGAACCCTTTAAAAAAACTAGTCTTACTTTACACACTCTAATATTTAGAATAGACTGTTTTGAAAGTACACATGAAAAATGAGAAGTGCGAGTGTGACACAAAGAGACCTATATATATTGTAGCTACAAGGCTAGTTTGCAAATATACAAATAGACCATGCACTGAAATGTATTTTTTTGCATAACCACATTTCTACATGTCTGGAGACTTTTATGTTTAATAGTATTGTTCAGTATGCTATCATCTTGAAAACATAAAATAAAGAAAAAAATGATAAATCAGCAAATAATTATCGACTTAATGTCTAGAATATATGATAATTTGTGTTGGAAGGTTTAATGAATCTTAGACAAAATGCAAAATAATTTGAATTCCAGTAAATAAATCATATTCTATATTCTTTCCTCAATTGAGTTATGTTTAAACTTGTTGTGATTAGCATGATGAGTGCATTACACCTAAATACCGTACTGCTGGTCATTTTCAAGGGTCAACATTTTCATGAATTCTTTCAAAAATGATTAAATCATTGTATAAGGAATTAGAATATTTCGATCTGGAGCTGATCATTAAAAAATTATCAAATTATCTTTTGAGAAATGAGAATTTCACAATATGGAGGTGAAATGTGTCTCATCATTTCACAAATTCAATTTTTGCTATCTCGTCAACACATCACAAAATAGCATAAAATATTATCCCCGCGAAAATAACCCACTGTACGGTATCCTGTTGTTTTAATGTTGATGTGATAAGAGCACCATTGATTGTTGTAGCAAAAGACAATGAATAAAGTCAATAAATAGTAAACACTATTTCTTTATAAAATTTCAACCAGAAATTATTAGTTTAATATCTGTGATTTTGCGTACGTGACAGCAAATGATATAAATGTACATCCAAATTTAACCATTACTATACATCAGATGTTTTGTCATCTTTGAGTTCATGTGTATATTTTGATGGTAAGTAGTTTTCTACCATCCATAGATTAATTATTATAATAAAAAAGACAAATTCTATATTTTACATGTTACAATTTCATTATACATACATTTTAGATGAGATCGTGAAATTGGGTAATGTATTTCATTGAAAGAAAATTTATAGTAAACTAGTATATGGGGGTTAAAAATAACTTGTGGTCATTTTGTTCACGCTAGGGTTAAATTCATTTAATAAGTAATTGTAGATAGTCATAAAAGGATACTGATTTTTACTTTTACAGATTGGTGTAAGGATTTGGTGGGGTGGGGTGGGGGGAGTCATGATTATATAAAAGATTTGGTTCTCTGATTATTTATTACCATATTACATAAGTGATCTTCTTTTGCTTCTGTCTGAATCATTTTCTGATATATAAGTTGTGAATTTGTATTTCAGCCAAGAAAATTGAGGCACCTACCTTTAATGCAGATAGAGATTCTGGAAGCTCTGGGGAGGGAACTACTTCAGGGGAGACAACTCCATTTGGTTTTGACAACAACTTCACAGACTCGATTGTAGTGGATGACACTCCAAGTAATCTAAGAAAATCTCTCAGCAAAGATTCACTCGACAATCTAGATCAGTAAGTCAAAGGAACTGAAAAATCGGATTTCTTTCCAATAACTCATTAAAAATAAACTCAAAATATAGAAAATAAAAAGAAGGAAAAAACATGTAACAAAGATCTTGTACTTGGACAAAAATGAACAAAATGGTGAATGATTTCAGCATTTGTCTTCTGGAGAATAGATATAGTAACTGAGTATACTGCTTTAATTTGAAAGTAACTGAACTGTTGGCATATATGTACCCTCCTCAAAAACTGGTTGGAATGTAGGAATGTATGTATTGTTCTGGATAAGAAATATTATCAAATAATTCTATATTGTGAAAGAAAAGCTTATTTTCATTTCCTGTGATCATTACAAATGATCTGTCTCTCAGTTGACGGTGCTAATCTAGAGTTTAGAAGTTGCAGTGTAGATAATTGTGTTTTGTTTTGTTTTGTATTGTAACAGATCTGACATGACAGACTCTTTGTCGAGGATCACTAACCAGCTAGGCCTGGGCGGGTCAGGAGTAGAACTGGTGGAGGGAATCAAACCAGCCACTGGACGAGAGAACATTGTGCGACACTTGATGAACCAACGAGAGGAAGAATTTACCCACAAGGAAACTCTCAAGTAATAACAAAGAAAAAGATTGTCAAAAAATATCCTGGAGATTTGCTTATTGTCGTTTATCTGTCATGCCATATTCAGAAGCTATTTACTGAGGGATGGGGCCCAATGGAAAAAATCTATCAATTTCTGTTAATTCTATCTTGTTCTTCAGGAATTGCAGGCTATGGTCCTAATTTTATATGAAGCATGCTTTGATGAAATTAAATCAGTTTTATGTAAACAGTGGATCTCAGCCCCTGGGGCTGGAGGGGTGGGACTTAATAGAAGAAATTGAGGAAATTCTTTCAAATCCTACTCCTTCTGTAGGATGATTGAGTTTTGCCCATATTTGGTGTGAAGCATTTTTGATGAAGTGGAATCAGTTTTGTATAAACGTTTGGTCTCATCTTTCTCAGATAGAGGGGCGGGGTCCAGGAGAGAAATTAGGACAAATTTTAAAAAATTCTTCTTCTTATGTAGGAGTACTTTGATTCTGTCTCAATATGGTAAACAACATGCTTGAGTGAAGGGGATCTTTGTAAGAACAATAGATTTGGCCCTCTGGGAAGGACGTGATGGGATGGGGCCTAATAGTGGAAATAGAGCAAATTCTTTAAAATCCTTCTGCTGTTGTAATGCTTCAGTTTTGTCCAGAATTGATCTGAAGCATTTTTGGTGAAGAAAACTTAGTTTTGTACAAACAGTGCATCTAATCCTCTCTTTGGGAGGAGGGGCAGGGCAAATTAGGTCAAGTGTTTTAGGTACTTTTCCTTTAGTTAAAATCTTTTTACAATTTTACAGGCCCTATGGGCCTCTTCTTGTCACAGTTTTATTCCATTATCAAACAGTAGCAAAAAATTACAATTTTTACAGTACTTTTATTTCAATTTGTTGTTTACGGTGGATGATTAATGGTCATTTTACAAATGTAGGCTTAATAAGGATGTTGATATTTGACTATTGCGAAAATTTGAGAAAAAAAAATGTCCAGATGGTCCTTGGTTAAAATATCTATTGTTCAAGTGAATGTTTTAAGGGTTTTTCCTTTTTTTTTCTCAGAGAAAATTGAAATACTTGTTTAGGCAGCTGAATAAAGTTCTTCCCATAAGATATTACTTGATATTAAGAGAAGGTTTCATTAATTTACAGAGTGTTTTGTGGGACATGGAATGTGAATGGTCAGTCACCTGTCACCGGTCCATCACTGAGAAAATGGCTTGATGTGGACAAGGAATGTCCAGATATATTTGCTATTGGGTAATTTATTGTGTGAGATGAAAATATGAATTTTGCAACATCTGATGTCACCTCGAATAATCTTGTATGATATTTGATGAATAAGTATTTGTGAACAACCTTATCTGGCAATAAGCCTGGGCCTGGTATTAAGACCAGCTTTTAATGGTGCTATATATTGTAAACTTATTACTCATCTTAATGGTATGTCCATTGATAAGCCCATCCCCTGATATTAAGTAAGTAGGAATGTGTTATACCCCCTCCGCTTATAGAGTAATAAAGTTTGTGTAACACAATTTAGTTTTGATTTATGAACTTTTCCATTTTTTATTTTGATAAATATACCTTGTTTCCTAGTTTTCAAGAATTGGACCTGAGTAACCAAGCATATATATTCAGTGATTCTGCCAAAGAGACAGAATGGCTAACTGCGGTACGAAAAAGTTTACCAGCAAAAACTCTGTACAAAAAGGTAAGATGAACAAGGAAATCATTAAACAAAGAGTCATTAATATCAAAGGAAATTGTAAGATTGTCACGTTGTAGCAATTGTTGATTTTCATAGGTTTACGCACACCTAGAAATAAAATTTCAAGAAGAGGATGTCACAAAACATTATCATTAAATTTCTATAACCGCATGCCTTAAGAGAACAGATAAGGATATTTTCAAACATACACTGGTCTTGTAAGTAGGTTTTTAGTTATATGCCAGTGGTCTCTGTGTGTCCTATGTTCATTTGACCCTCAGATACAGGTATAACTTATGTAACAGTGTTGTTTAAGCAGGAACTTTTTATATACAGTCGAACCTCGTTATCCCAAACTCTTTGGGACCATGGAAAAACTTCAAGATAAAATATTCAATTTATGTGGGTTGGAATGTTTTCGTGTAAAGTTAGGCATGGAACTGAGGAAATACTTCAAATTAAATGGGGTCTTTGAGTTAATGAGGTTCGACCTGTGGCCTTTATAGCAGATTTTCTTATTTTGTAATTTAGAGTTTCTGTTCTGATTCTAGTAAAAATAGCTATTTGCTTTTTCATATAGTTCAGAACAGCAGAAGTTAGTTAGTCACCCAATACTTTCAGGTGTACATAGTCACCCTATACTTTCAGGTGTACTTAGTCACCCTATACTTTCAGGTTTATTTAGTCACCCTATACTTTCAGGTGTAGTTAGTCACCCTATACTTTCAGGTGTACTTAGTCACCCTGTACATTCAGGTGTAGTTAGTCACACTGTACTTTCAGGTGTACTTAGTCACCCAATACTTTCAGGTGTACATAGTCACCCTATACTTTCAGGTGTAGTTAGTCACACTGTACTTTCAGGTGTACTTAGTCACCCTATACTTTCAGGTGTAGTTAGTCACCCTATACTTTCAGGTGTACTTAGTCACCCTGTACATTCATGTGTACTAAGTCACACTGTACTTTCAGGTGTAGTTAGTCACCCTACACTTTAGTTGTAGATAGTCACCCTATACTTTCAGGTGTAGTTAGTCGCCCTGTACGTTCAGGTGTAGTTAGTCACCCTGTACTTTCAGGTGTAGTTAGTCACCCTGTACTTTCAGGTGTAGTTAGTCACCCTGTACTTTCAGGTGTAGTTAGTCACCCTATACTTTTAGGTGTACTTAGTCACCCTATACTTTCAGGTGTAGTTAGTCACCCAATACTTTCAGGTGTACATAGTCACCCTATACTTACTGATGTACTTAGTCACCCTATACTTACTGAGGTACTTAGTCACCCTATACTTTCAGGTGTAGTTAGTCACCCTATACTTACTGGTGTACTTAGTCACCCTATACTTTTAGGTGTAGTTAGTCGCCCTGTACGTTCAGGTGTAGTTAGTCACCCTGTACTTTCAGGTGTAGTTATTCACCCTGTACTTTCAGGTGTAGTTAGTCACCCTACACTTTAGTTGTAGATAGTCACCCTATACTTTCAGGTGTAGTTAGTCGCCCTGTACGTTCAGGTGTAGTTAGTCACCCTGTACTTTCAGGTGTAGTTAGTCACCCTATACTTTCAGGTGTAGTTAGTCACCCTATACTTTCAGGTGTACTTTCAGGTGTACTAGTCACCCTATACTTTACAGGTGTACTTAGTCACCCTATACTTTCGGGTGTACTTAGTCACCCTATATTTACAGGTGTACTTAGTCACCCTATACTTTCAGGGTGTACTTAGTCACCCTATACTTTCAGGTGTACTTAGTCACCCTATACTTTTAGGTGTACTTAGTCACCCTATACTTTCAGGTGTACTTAGTCACCCTATACTTTCAGGTGTACTTAGTCACCCTGTACTTTCAGGTGTAGTTAGTCACCCTGTACTTTCAGGTGTAGTTAGTCACCCTGTACTTTCAGGTGTAGTTAGTCACCCTATACTTTCAGGTGTACTTAGTCACCGTATACTTTCAGGTGTAGTTAGTCACCCTATACTTTCAGGTGTACTTAGTCACCCTGTACATTCAGGTGTACTTAGTCACTGTATACTTTCAGGTGTAGTTAGTCACCCTGTACTTTCAGGTGTAGTTAGTCACCCTGTACTTTAAGGTGTAGTTAGTCACCCTGTACTTTCAGGTGTACTTACTTTCAGTCTTTCAGGTGTACTTTCCCTATACTTAGTGTACTTAGTCACCCTATACTTTCAGGTGTAGTTAGTCACCCTATACTTTCAGGTGTAGTTAGTCACCCTATACTTTCAGGTGTAGTTAGTCACCCTATACTTTCAGGTGTACTTAGTCACCCTGTACCCTATACTTTCAGGTGTAGTTAGTCACCCTATACTTACTGATGTACTTAGACACCCTATAATTTCAGGTGTAGATAGTCAACATATACTTAGGTGTACTTAGTCACCCTATATTTACAGGTGTAGTTAGTCACCCTGTACTTACTTATGTACTTAGTCACCCTATACTTACAGGTGTAGTGTGTACTTAGTCACCCTATACTGTACTTAGTCACCCTATACTTACAGATGTACTTAGTCACCCTATACTTACTGAGGTACTTAGTCACCCTATACTTTCAGGTGTAGTTAGTCACCCTATACTTACTGGTGTACTTAGTCACCCTATACTTTTAGGTGTACTTAGTCACCCTATACTTTCAGATGTACTTAGTTGCCCCATACTTTCAGGTGTAGTTAGTCACAATATACTTTCAGGTGTAGTTAGTCACCCTATACTTACTGGTGTACTTAGTCACCCTATACTTTCAGGTGTACTTAGTCACCCTATACTTTCAGGTGTAGTTAGTTAGTCACCCTATACTTTCAGGTGTAGTTAGTCACCCTATACTTTCAGGTGTACAGTCACCCTATACTTTTAGTGTACTCAGTCACCCTATACTTACTAATGTACTTAGTCACCCTATACTTACTAATGTACTTAGTCACCCTATACTTTCAAGTGTAGTTAGTCAACCTATACTTACTGGTGTACTTAGTCACCCTATACTTTTAGGTGTACTTAGTCACCCTATACTTTCAGGTGTAGTTAGTCACCCTGTACTTTCAGGTGTAGTTAGTCACCCTGTACTTTCAGGTGTAGTTAGTCACCCTGTACTTTCAGGTGTAGTTAGTCACCCTGTACTTTAAGGTGTAGTTAGTCACCCTGTACTTTCAGGTGTAGTTAGTCACTCTGTACTTTCAGGTGTACTTAGTCACCCTATACTTTTAGGTGTACTTAGTCACCCTATACTTACTGATGTACTTAGTCACCCTATACTTACTGAGGTACTTAGTCACCCTATACTTTCAGGTGTAGTTAGTCACCCTATACTTACTGGTGTACTTAGTCACCCTATACTTTCAGGTGTAGTTAGTCACCCTGTACTTTCAGATGTAGTTAGTCACCTTGTACTTTCAGGTGTAGTTAGTCACCCTGTACTTTCAGGTGTAGTTAGTCACCCTGTACTTTCAGGTGTAGTTAGTCACCCGGTACTTTCAGGTGTAGTTAGTCACCCTGTACTTTCAGGTGTAGTTAGTCACCCTATACTTTTAGGTGTACTTAGTCACCCTATATTTACAGGTGTACTTAGTCACCCTATACTTACTTATGTACTTAGTCACCCTATACTTACTGATGTACTTAGTCACAATATACTTTCAGGTGTAGTTAGTCACCCTATACTTTCAGGTGTAGTTATACTTTCAGGTGTAGTTAGTCACCCTATACTTTTAGGTGTACTTAGTCACCCTATATTTACAGGTGTACTTAGTCACCCTATACTTACTTATGTACTTAGTCACCCTATACTTACTGATGTACTTAGTCACCCTATACTTTCAGGTGTAGTTAGTCACCCTATACTTACTGGTGTACTTAGTCACCCTATACTTACTGGTGTACTTAGTCACCCTATACTTTCAGGTGTAGTTAGTCACCCTATACTTACTGGTGTACTTAGTCACCCTAAACGTTCAGGTGTACTTAGTCACCCTATACTTTCAGGTGTAGTTAGTCACCCTATACTTTCAGTTGTACTTAGTCACGCTATACTTTCAGGTGTACTTAGTCACCCTATACTTACAGGTGTACTTAGTCACCCTATACTTACTGAGGTCCTTAGTCACCCTATACTTTCAGGTGTAGTTAGTCACCCTATACTTACTGGTGTACTTAGTCACCTTATACTTTCAGGTGAAGCAGACTACGTTGCCACTGGAATTATGGGTATTATGGTATGTATGATTCCTTGTAACACACCATTTTATCCCAACTTTGTTTAAACTTGATCCACCTCTCTGCTATTTCCGAAGAATTCTCCAATACTGTTACCAGAGGTACACTGCCTATTGGGACCAGATTCTCTTTAGCTTGTTTCATCCCTCAAAATTGAAAACTGCTAAACTATATTTATATCTCTGTCTCTTCTTTGTATCTCAAGTCTTTCCAATTTGCTTATAACACAACCAGTAGAAGATTTGAGTGTGACGTTACCATGTAGTCATCAGAATGTCACACTCTAATCTTGTACTGGTTGTGTTATAAAATTTTTTATTCTATTGACATACCAACCTGAAGAAAATGTTTAAAAAACACACTTATCAATATGCTTTTGTTAATCCCCATTTCTATTCCTTTCTTTCTTTTGTCATCATTTTCGATGACTTTTTTGTTTGTACAATCTTACTCATTGAAAGACCCGAACATATTAAGGAAATAAAACAAACCAATATTCGACCTCCATACAATTGGTGCCATTTTAAAAAAGTGATTCAGGCATAGGTTTTTTTTTATCTCTAGTGTGCAACTTCAGTTGACTCATACAATACATTTCCTAATTCTGAGCATGATCCTTATTAAAAAGTTTTATATTAACAATGTTGATACTCAAAAGTTTTCCTCAACTATGAAAAATTAAGTTTTTAGACATATGGCCTTTTAACTCTTCATGTCCTATCAGAGAGTGAATTCCTAGTTGCTACAGTGCAATGTGAGTGTGCTACTATTGCATAAGAAAACAAGATTTGTTTGACAAGTTTCCATGGTAACTGTAACTTGTTACAGGGAAATAAAGGAGGAGTTGGAGTAAGGTTCACCATTCAAGGCACATCCATTTGTTTTATCAATTCACATTTAGCAGCACACCAAGAAGAGTTTGAAAGAAGAAATCAGGTAAAATATATAAAAATTTTAATGTATTAAATGTATTTGGCAGCGCAAAAACATCTCAAAGTTTTTTCTGATTGATGAGATGGTCTCTAAGAAAATTTCAAAAAAAAAAAAAAAAATTGAGTAGCTCTCTCAGCACATTCCGGAAAAGGAGATCTCACAATTTTTTTTCTACTTTGCTAATGTAAGGATTGATCTCGGATGACATATTCCTCTATAAAAGACTCTTATCCTTGTGAAAATGTTGACTGAACTACAAGATAGATTGTTCTCTGTGTACAAGATAGGTTGAAATATGGAATATGCCTTGTCTAATGCTTTCAGCATGATTATTGAGATGTAACATTGATGTGTTGTTACAGGACTACCGAGATATCAGCTCCAAGATGAAATTTAAACAGTTTGTTCCACCCCTAAATATTAGAGAGCATGAGTAAGTATGTTTGATGTATGTCTGAAGGATAATTGATGGATAGCTTAAGGATAGTTGATATTTCACGAAACCTCATGTAAAACTATGATCAAGGTCACCGTTACTATTTTTAGAAATTTGTCAAACTTTGATACTTAAGCAAGATTATTCATTAAAATAGATATTTTCTAGTTTTATATGAATTTTGAAAAAATTACAAATTTTTTAATGGGTTTCATTTTCCTTTTTTTGTAATCACAATGTACTTTGCAGAAATTTGAATTCTAGTGAATTTGTTTCACAGTTAATGAAATGTGCTATGTATTGTTTAATCATTGTAGTGTCATATTTTGGATCGGAGATTTAAACTACAGAATAACTGATCTAGATATTGGAATGGTGAAAACCCTTATAGAACAAAAACAACTTAGGGACCTTCGAGCCTATGATCAGGTAAGGCAATATTCCTGATCCTATGATCAGGTAAGGCGATATTCCCTCAGAAGGTGAAAACCCTTACAGAACAAAAACAACTTAGGGACCTTCGAGCCTATGATCAGGTAAGGCAATATTCTTGATCCTACGATCAGGTAAGGCAATGTTCCTGATCCTATGATCAGGTAAGGCAATATTCCTGATCCTATGATCAGGTAAGGCAATATTCCTGATCCTATGATCAGGTAAGGCAATATTTCTGATCCTTTGATCAGGTAAGGCAATATTCTTGATCCAATGATCAGGTAAGGCAATATTCCTGATCCTTTGATCAGGTAAGGCAATATTCCTGATCCTATGATCAGGTAAGGCAATATTCCTGATCCTATGATCAGGTAAGGCAATATTCCTGATCCTATGACCAGGTAAGGCAATATTCCTGATCCTATGACCAGGTAAGGCAGTATTCCTGATCCTATTATCAGGTAAGGCAATATTTCTGATCCTTTGATCAGGTAAGGCAATATTCCTGATCCTATGATCAGGTAAGGCAATATTTCTGATCCTTTGATCAGGTAAGGCAATATTCCTGATCCTATGATCAGGTAAGGCAATATTCCTGATCCTATGATCAGGTAAGGCAATATTTCTGATCCTATGATCAGGTAAGGCAATATTCCTGATCCTATGATCAGGTAGGGCAATATTTCTCCAGAAGGTAAAAACCCTTTTATTTTTGCTTGAACCTAAATCTTGAATTGAATTTTGTAGTTTCAGTATCTTATGAATTCACATGTTTTGCAATTTGTGCAAACTACAAGTATTTTAGTACTGAATTAGTTTAAAATGTATCAAATGTAATATTGAATATGTTTCCTTGTTCTCAAACAAATAAATATCCTGTAACCTCCGCCAAGTTCCCCCCAAAAATTTAAAAAACAGATGGAAGACTAATGATTTTACTCTCATGTGGTTATTGTATTATGGGCACTTTCATTAACATAATGAATATATGAATGAAGATAATATACATTTATTATCTGAAGATGGGACTGATAATGATATTACAGTTACCTTAAAGGTTATTCAACATTTGGCAGTCTCAATCAAAAGTTGGAATCTAAAGATCAAACGGTATATAATTTTTTTCTCAAATTTTTTTTTTATCAATTTTTATTGTCAAGATGTCTGTTTTTCATAATTTTGTTTCATGATTGAACACCTCCCTCAGAAATAACATAAACCTTTATGGTGTTTGTGTATGTTACAGCTTCACCGACAGTTGGGGAGGACGGATGTTTTTGAGGGGTACCAGGAGGGAGATTTAGATTTCCAGCCTACCTATAAATATGACCCCGGTACAGACACCTGGGACACAAGGTGCAAAATTAATGATGTTTACTGTTTTCATCTGAATATATAATGTGGACGTATCATATCAGTCCTTATGACAAAAGTGTATTGTATTGAAAGTTTTATTTACTGGTGTTAGTGTAAGAACAATGGACTACATGTAGGTTATGGTGTTTATTGGTTGATAAGCCCATCCATATTGATAGGAGTTTTAGAAGAAATGCCAAAGAATACTAACATTGTTCTGTAATAAGCCCACTAGTCTACTCGGAGTCGGAAGTGATGTGCTGGTTTCTGAGACTTATTACAAGATATATAATGATAATTTGATTTCACAAAAGTGTTCCCTTTCAAAGATTTGATAATAAGTGATATCTGTTTCAAAAGTGTCATATGCCAGTCTAAATTTTTTTTTCTACATGACAATATATAAATCTAACCCCTAGTCAATATAAATTGGATTTTGTTTGAAAATTTTGTCAGGACAAATGACAGGGAGAGAGGGGGGTATTAGTCAGCCATTGACTTGCATTCTAGTTTTATTCATTGAGCAGTGTCAGGTGCCACATTGGTGTCCTCTACTGTACTACAATGTGATTTAATTCAGTGAGAAAGGACGAGCCCCAGCCTGGTGTGACAGGGTCCTGTTCAAGGGTCCAGATATCAGACTGAAAGCTTATCGCTGTCATCAGTCGTTGAAAGTCAGTGATCACAAACCCGTCTCTGCTCTATTTGACGTGGATGTACGTATACTACACATATTTATATCAGAGTGACCGTATTTCATCATTTTATTATTAGACCTAAGATGGTATCAAAATGCATGTCACTACATTGTTAAAGGGAACTTTAATTGATTTTTGATTGGATGTTTAAACACTTAACAAAGCAGTAAAGTCTACGTTTATAACCAGTCCTTGAAGTCTTGATCTCGTACAAATTCTAAACTCTTTTTCTTCAACATTCTCATGTGCAATTCCCTCTAAGTTGTGGATAAGATAATGTTTCACAGACTTTGACAAGAGATATACTAATATGTTGATGTTCTTTTCAGATTAAAGTCATTGATGACGAGAAATCAAAGAGGGTTTACGAGGACATTATGAAACAGTTAGATCGACTTGAAAATGAGTACCTGCCCCAAGTGAAATTGAGCAAAACAGATGTGAGTTTAACTGTGAAATGTTTTTTCACGATAGAAAGTTTTTAAATATGAGAAGTGCAAATGAGTAAATATGCAGGAGTAGTGATATTGTAGAGAAAGAAATTTTGAGTCTTTAATTTAGTGTCCACTCAAACCCAGACATTTTGATGAAAAAATAAATTAAACTTAAACTTAATCTTTATTCCATTGCACTGACCACCCAGTAGATCCCCTCCATACATTTGTGGCTTTGTATAAATATTTGATTAAGATTGATTCAGAAGTTAATTTCAAAAGATAAAATTTCAGTCTGTTTGTGAAATGAATTTGAGATATTTCGGGGATAAATAGAATTTCACAGCCCTGTTGATATGAACGTATCAAATACATATATAAATATATAATGAATCCATATGCAACTTAAATACCAAATAACATCTGATGATGTTGAACTTGGTTATTATTAAGTAACTCCAGTTTGGCATTCAGTGTAATGATAATCCATCACATGATGAAAGTGAAACTGATCACTACTCATAACATGAAGTAAATTGTTTTAACTAAGATCATTCCTCTATATTTCAGTTTAACTTCTCAGATTTGAAGTTCATGGAACCTCAAGTACAGAGTTTGATAGTAGAGAATACGGGACAGGTACGATTTTGTGTTTATATCCAATAAAATGCATTCTGTGAGGTTAACATGTAACGGCGGAAAAACAGTGCTGTGATTTCAAGATGACAAAAATATTCAGAATCAATACATTAAAGGTATTAAGATATGCTGTCAAGTTTTAAGATCATCAAGATTAGATTTCTGTTATTGTCTGAACTCTGCAGTGACATATAAAGTAACATACTTCTATTGGGTTGAATAGATACATTATTGATGTAAGAAGTAGTCCATATGATATGATATGACATGATACAATATATTATATATTTTTGATACAATACAATACAATGTGATACAATACGATTTGATGTAGTTCTATACCATATACAATACAATGTGATACAATACAATACAATGTGATACAATACAATGTGATACAATATGATTTGATGTAATTCTATACCATATGATACAATACAATGTGATACAATACAATGTGATACAATATGATTTGATGTAGTTCTATACGATATGATGTAGTTCTATACAATATGATACAATACAATGCCATACAATAACACAATAATGTTATACTATGTACCTGGTATATGAATGGTTGCATTGTCTGTAGTGAATTTAAAGTAGATTGATAAGGTTCACTATATGTGTATTGATAACAGGTTGTAAACTTTCAGGGTTTCTCATGATTATTAACAAGTGATGAAGTTATCTGCCACTAGACGGGCCAATCCCTTCATTCTGTGTTGACTATATCTATACATATTACATCTGTGATCATTCCTTTCCTGTCTATTACATATTTTAGGTACCTGTGACTTTTGAGTTTATCAAGAAGCTGGATGAAACAAGTCACTGTAGGAATTGGATGGAGGTCACACCTTCACAGTCTGTTGTTGTTCCAGGTATACTTTTTTCTGTCTTTATTTTCAGCATCAAACCCATGTCTGATAATAATCATCCATATCTATCGCACAGTTAGTGTTTTGTCGAATTGTAATCAACCTGCTGGCTACCAGAGATTGTATTCTGCCTCCCTAAGCTTATTACAGTTGGAACGTTTATTTCGTTATTTATATTTTACAAATAATCATGACTATAACACCTCACAACATCCTCACTTAAAACTCTTCATTCTAGTTTTAAATTAACTCCAACATCCTAAAATTATCTATTTTAGCTTAGCATTTAATTTCATTTTCACCTAAGCTGAAGGGCAAAATGGGTTGAAGTTTAACTGCAATGAATATGTCCCCATATACATGTATTTTACAGCTAAGTAAAAGTGTTCTTTTATATGTTAAAGTCATGTTGAAAAAGAAGACTTAAAAAATTGTTTAAATTTGGGTCTGACAAATTTTCTGATTGATTTTGAATGATATTCTATACTATAAAAGAAAGATAAAATTTGCTTATAGTGTCTTAACATGAATTATAATAATATTTGAAATTTAATTTTGGAGATACTTTTGAAAAAGAGATTTTCTGCTACATCTGTCTAGAAAAGATGAGCTCAAAAAATATATCTATTGGATGATATTATGGTGTGATTATCTCATTGAAGGCGAGGGATGTGAGATCCAATTGAAGGCATACGTAGATGAAAACTCTGTTGGAAAGCTGAGCAGTGGTGAGGATAAGGTAGAGGATATCCTTGTCCTTCATCTCCATGGCGGCAAGGACTTCTTCATATCCTTTTTATCTGACTGTAGAGGGCGCTGTTCTACAGGGATATTTATCTTAACTAACTTTCCAAAGGGAAAAAAAAACAAAACAAAAAAAGATGTAATATTTTGTCTTTAAAGGACAAAAAGGTTTTTTATTTTTCTGTCTATGCACATTTGTATGTTGGACACTTCAAATTTTTTTCTAACTGAAGGGACAAATCTTCATGCGGTGGTTTGTAGAGATAAACACCCCTGATCATTTTATATCCTTAACACTATCTACATAACTGTTGGAGGTAGCTACATTCCGAGTTCATTTGGCTCATCCATCCAGGCACTCATACAGATGCACGGACCAATAAGGGAGGTGCCTGTCGCTCAGCTTATAGAAATTGTAAGTAAAATGGAGGTGCCTGTCGCTCAGCTTATAGAAATAGTAAGTAAAATGGAGGTGCCTGTCGCTCAGCTTATAGAAATAGTAAGTAAAATGGAGGTGCCTGTCGCTCAGCTTATAGAAATAGTAAGTAAAATGGAGGTGCTTGTCACTCAGCTTATAGAAATAGTAAGTAAAATGGAGGTGCCTGTCACTCAGCTTATAGAAATAGTAAGTAAAATGGAGGTGCCTGTCGCTCAGCTTATAGAAATTGTAAGTAAAATGCAACAGTTCAATATGTCAACCTGTCCTGCTCCCACAATTCAGGTGTAAGGGAGGTGTCTGTCGCTCAGCTTATAGAAATTGTAAGTAAAATGCAACAGTTCAATATGTCAACCTGTCCTACTCCTACAATTTAGGTATGGGTGTTGTTGAATTAGCCTTACTCCATTTTCATGGATATTCCTAAACTGCTCAATTTCAATTTGGCCATAGGATTATTATTGGAATAAAGTGGAGGGGGAGGGGAGGGGTGGGGGTAGTGTGCTTTGATGTATGTGAAATTTAGGAACATCAACAAAACTGGGATTTGTCAATTAATTCAGACTATTTATTGTGTTTTTCGTATGATTGTTATTTATTGTTTGTTTGCACTTTTTTCAGGAACAGCCTGGAAGTTTAGAGAAACGTGACCTTACATCATCAGGGGGAAGGTTGTATGCCATTCCAAAAGAAATATGGAGACTGGTAGATCATATATGGAAAGTTGGTAAACTGGAGGTCAGTATGTCACATTATGTGTCAATAAATGTGTCAATAGATTGTAAAAAAAAGACGCGAGAGAAACAGCACTTTTCAATACGTATCTAGAAATAGTTACAATACATATTGAATATGCATGTGGTAGGCCTCCTGCAGTTCAGTATCAAGGTAAATCCTACCTCAAGGTGACTGGCTTTGACGGGACAAAGAGTTCAACAGTGTAGGAACTGCGTCAAAGCTGTTTTTTCCTTCTGGAACACATCCATGATGTTTTGTCCCTCTGGAACATGTTAAGAGGTGTTTTAATGCCCTATGATGAGTTCAGAAAAATTCACCAAAATGGATGATATAATGAAGATGAGGAGATACATATGTCCAAAATTTTAATATTTTTTTTTTCAAATTCACAGTTTTTGATATGTTGGTATTTCCTTTGAATATTCAACACGTTTAGAATTCTGTAGAGCATTTCCTCAATGATAAATGGCATAGTCAAGTCCTACACATACAGTACAACTTTAATCATAGCCTTCTTCTGTCTTTATGGAAAGTCTTTTCCAATTGCCATAAAGGCAGAATGAATTCTGAATAAAGAAAAAAACTAAAAGAATTTTATTGTAAAATATGGTTGGTTACAACAACATCTTAATACTGTTATTTGCAGGCTGTTATTGTCAATTAACATTACTTTGTTTTGATTTCTTCAGACGGGACTATTTGAGAGGTCTGGTTTACAGACTGAAGTTTCCAAAATTCGAGATTGTCTGGATACTGGAGTTCCAGACAGCATACGTATCCTTGTACAACTGGTTATTGTTCTGTGTGCCTTTTGAGAAAAAAACGTTGAAAGTTTAAAGCTTATATCATTTAATAAGCCTAGTGCTGATAATGAATTACCTATGACCCAGGGTCAAAGGGTTAGCTAAATACTGGACAGCGAAATAGTAGTTGTTTAAAATATACACAATGATAGATATGGGTAGACATATCTGTTATGGGCTTACTGCCTGTAACTAACTACCCTTTGAAACTACATATGTAAACATACGACAGTAATCTAATACAAATTGTAATCTTGGCTAAGCATAATGTAATTTAAACTCAAAATAGGAAACGGCTCTTTAATTTCAACAAAATTTGACCTTGACCTTTGATTAGCGGGCAGTATCCACTCCGTGGCTGCTACTTTGTTATTGTTTCTCAAGTGCCTCCCAGACCCAGTTATACCATGTAGTGTGTACCAACGCTGTCTCGAGTGTTCCCGAAACTACATGTTATGTAAACAGGTCAGTATTCACATGTTTTGTTTACACAGGTTTTTTATCTTGGAATACAATCACCTCGATTCACACGAGAGGAAGTCACTGTTAGGATTAATCTGTAGAGCAGCAGTCTTGTTTAACTGGTTGTCACAGTTATGATCCCCAGTGGAAACACTGCTCCTTTCTTGTTACACTTTAACTATACACTACTCCAAGTGCAAGCCAGAGGAGACTGAGAACCTGGGTTGATATTGTGTTTGATTATGAAAATGTTAGTAGGAAGAGTAATGTTGCATTTTTTAATTGTACAAAGATGTGGTTGCTTTCTAGCTTTGCACTGATGGGATTTTCTCTTTAGCTTGATCAGCAGAGCGGCAGCTAAGGGTTGCTCGTTTGATCCTTGGTACAGACAATGTAATTCTTTCCTGTTACACAACACAAAGCCAAAAGCTGATCATCCAAGCTTTCACTGATAAACAACACTACTTATTGCTATGTATCTGTGGGTGTTGTCTGTTGGTATCATTATTCAAACAGATAATTCTAGTTTTGTTAGACGTCAAAAAATATTTCCTTGAATAGCTGCTACTGTTAGATCATTAATTTTTGTGGTGTTTGTATTTTTATTAAGTTCACGGTTTCTCTCAATCCGCTAATTGGTATGCTCAAGAAATGATAAAGAAATGAAAATTGTTATTGATTAAAGTACCAGAGGATTTTGTGACCCAGATTTATTCAGGAAATCAACGGGATACGTTTGTAAAACCACTTAATTTGAGCTCAACCAAAATGGCAGATTTTTTCATTAGATACTCTTCAAAAACGAGTGTCCATTTCAGATGAATTTTTCTATAAAAATATGTCCAATATTGACAAGCACTTGTTAAAGTTGTAAAATAGACTACAAGTATTGAGTTGTTCTGTGTCAATTGCAGACAGTGGATTAAGGGGAGAGAAGTCTGACGGATTAGAAATATTTTTACCAGGGAAAACTATGATGTTGTAAGAAAGACAACTGCAGTTTCTGTGACCTCAATGGCAGTTATGTTTGTTTGTTCATATGGATTTTAGATTTTGCAGAGGATTTTATCTATTGAAAGAAGATATCAATGCATAAATAATATAATATATGTAAACAAAGCCAAAGGGGAATGGGAGGGGGGTGGTTTGGGGGAAGGGGTGGGGTAGGGTGGGCTTTGTTATACTTCTTATAGGAAAACATTAGTGTCTTCTTTTTATCTCTCTAGAATAGTCAGCCTTTGGTCAATTATTTACCAGCTGCTTGAGGGAAAGTCTTGTTGTAATGATGTTTCTGTTTGTCACTGGTGAAGGAATGTCATAAAGTGACGGTAATTTGATGTACCGGGTACTTAAACTTGTTTTGATCAGTGTAGCAGGGGTCATCATATCTTTTATCGCCTCTGCAAGAGATGGTACTATAGACCTCTGGTTGTAGTCTTAATCACAACTGATCAAGTTAAGTGATACATCTCTCGGGCCATACAATATATTGCAAAAAATAGCTCTTCCTCAAGTTTTCGAGGGTTACAATGATATCTGTAAGGCAGTGCTAAGTGTTATTCTTTAGTTTCTATGTTAAACATCGGCAGTGATGTAACAGTGATCATTATTTCTGCTACAAATCAAACACCTGACATCTGGCTCTATAGTCTTACACTAAACTGATCAGGCTAAACAGATGTTCTCTCTAGCCAAGGGGCAAATTGTGGCTAGTGTCTACCAAGGTGACATTAATATCATCACACTACATCACCACCCACAGTTCTTTAAGTCTGTTTCCAGTAGAAACAAAGAGATGCCATTCTCAAGATAAGGTTAATCATTGTTTTCTATTATTTTTTTTGAGTAATTTTCAAGCATATATGTTACCAGACAAGTAACCTTATTTGGTTTCTTACGATTTTGAAATAAAAGAATTGATTTTGATAATATTGTTTATGTCCTGAAGCAAAGAAGTATCTCTGAGGAAGTCACATTTCAAAGGTCAAAGGTCAAAGCCACTATCGCTATTTATAGGAAGTCATCCACCAACTGAATGACATCATTCAAAGACAAATAACAGTTATAAGAAAAATTATAGAAAGTTGCTAGGGCTACGGATTTATTGGCTTCAAAAATTGTCGGGGAAAAAAAAGACAAAACATTTGTATAAAAGTGTCAAAAAGGACAAAACTGTGTAAAAGCTAAGTGTTGACCACGTTTCATGGAGATGGATACTAGCTAGCATCTTGGGAAGGAACAAAACTCTTACTTGATATATACAAACATTCATCACACTGTTGTCTTGGGCCATAGTTATGAATTCTATACTTTGTTGACTAGCTCTATTGTTGATAGGAAATGACTTTTCAGATCTATGATTGTTAACTTGCTTGCCCTTCAGTTACCAGTACTATGCTTTCAGTTGAGAAATCTATTTAATCTTAAAACTGGTCAATGTATTTTCATATTGATTTCATTTTCCCTTTCAGAAAGATTGATAAACATTTGATTAAGATTTCATTTTTCAGACATAGAGAAGTGAAAAAATATCATTTATGTAATTATATATTGAACTTTTAACCCAAGGATAGCCATAAAGCTAAGACATTGAAGGATGAGATATGAGAACACAGCTGAGCTCAAACTCAATGCCGACATTTCCCTCAATGTCTTGTGTATATTTGATGCCTGTTACAAGTAAATTGTGTCTGAATGATTAATGAGAAAGACATCAACAGGTATTGATCTTGGGTCTGAAATGTTTTGAAAATCTTTAAGCATACCAGAAAGGCTGTAGATAAATTTATATTTGAGAAAATGTTTTTCAGGAATGCAGAAAAAATTGAAGGCACTTCAAGTACATGTGTATCATGTATCTAGGATTGGTGGATTAATTTTTTCAATTATTTGCTGATGAATATGAGTTGTGTATCATGGTTTTTTTCTCTAAACTTCTCAAGTTTCGACTGTGTGTTTAGTTTTGATATTTCGGAAATTATCCTGAGATGTTCCTGATCAAATGTTATTTGGGTCGTTCTGAAACATTTTATTGTCGTAATGACCCCCATCTTCGAAAACAAATCTTAATGAAATATCTTTCATTAAGTTCCAATGGTGTCGTTGAGGTAGCATTTTATAAAAATGTTGTGAAACTGATACGAAGAATATTTTGTTTTATTTGTTTATTTATAATTGTTATTATTTTTACCGGTAAACTGCTCTTCTATCATCTAAATACAATCCTTACTAGTGCCACATCTGTTCTATTTGATATAGGTCATTATAGCCTTATATATATATATGATTATGTATTAAATAGAATCTTACATTTGTGTCTAATAATTTCAAATGACACTTGGTCATCTCAGGGTTTGTTAAACATTTTAATTTAATTCAATATTGGGGCCTTGTTAGCTCAGTTGATAGAGCAACTCAGACAAAACAAGGTGAAAATTTGTGGTGGGCAGTTTGTGTTTCTCATGAAGCTAGGAAACATACCTATCTGTGTTGTAGAAACAGAATCATCTTTAAAAATCCTCTCTAATCCTACAAGTAGACAGATTTATACCACATTTAATTATAATCATCAACAAGGCCTCTTTTGGATTTATGTAATTTATAGACTTGGGGTCAAGAGGTCATTAGGTAGGACAAGGACGATATTGTATGTAGTGTGATTCATTAAATCTTATTTTAGATAAACACCCCATAACCATAATTAGTATTGCTGGGCATCAAGTAATTAACATAATCTTGGTGTATTAAATGGCCCTTGGGCCTGACCCCACCCCCAGGGACGTAAATAATGGATTATGTCTTCAAAACAGTTGCGATTCCCACCCCATAACCAGATAAAGAACTGCTAGTCATCATGAAATTAAGACAGTCATGATATTAAAGTAGTCCTATAGGTCTTTCCCCACCCAGAGGGACTTAGTTTCTGGGTCATATCTTTGAAACAGTTGACATCCCTACCTCATAGCAATATCTAGCATTGTAAGGCATCACAAGATAAGCACAATCATGATGTAGGAATTTATTAAGGGGTCTTGAATATGAAATGTTTGTTGTTTTGCCCCCAGGGGCCTGAAGAATGGGGCCTGGAGAGTGGGGCCTGGGGAGTGGGGCCTGGAGAGTGGGGCCTGGAGAGTGGGGCCTGGGGAGTGGGGCCTGGGGAGTGGGGCCAAGGCGGTAAAAAATGGAGTCATTTTTAAAAATCTTCTTCTCTACTCCTACATTAGTAGCAGTTATCAAAAAACTAATATGATAATGTCAAAGTATTTTTCTTATATTATCAAACTGATAAATATAGCAGATGTTTTAATTCATTTAAATGTCATTTTCTAGAGTTTTTTCTAACAAGAAAACACAGAGATACATGATTATTATTTTGTCTATGAGTCAGCTGAAGGTGATGAGTGATACAGGCCATGGTGGCCTCTTGTATTGATCATGTTTATTTATATTATGTTCTGAGGGAAGACAACTCTTAAATATGTTTCCATTACTTGCAATATTCCTGCAGCGTTAACAGTTTATGTTCTGGTAAAATAAAACTGGCTTTGGTAAGGCTACGACATAGCAATATTGCTGTAAATATTTCTTTAGTTTTTTCTTCTCAAAGGGCTAAAAGCAAAATGTGTGCTTTATGGTTTTGTGTGTTCAAATACAACATCTTTTATGTTACTTTCCATTTTAGTTCATACGAGATTTTTATGCTCCCCAAATGGTGAGGATGTAATCTCTGTTTTGTCTGTCCATCCATCTGTTTGTCCGTCATTCTGTCGTAAATTTGTCCTGGGCATAACAGAAAAGCTATAAGAGTATCAACATCAAACTTTATAGGTAGATAGATCTCAGCAAGAAGAAGTACAGTGTACAAGAACCATCTTTCTCTTTTGCAGGATTTAGGAGTTATTGCCCTTTGTTATTTACTTAAATTTTGTCTAGAGAATTACACTAAAACTAGAAGAGGTATCAACATGAAACTTCATAGGTAGATAGATCTCAACAAGAAGGAGGGCAGTGTACAAGATTAATAACTTTTCTATTGCCCTTTGTTATTTTTCATAGTTGAATTTTGTCCCATTCGGGAAGCACAATCTGTCGCTAATGGCCCTTGTATTCATGAAGTCTCATAGGAAATAAAAACAAATTTAATATACTTTTTACAATTTGACAGGTTTTAAAGAGAAAATTTGTAGGACGAAATCAAACAAAGGCAGCCATTTTGTTGCACCATTTCAGTTCATTGTCTATCTTACGACATTTCAATAAATTTCAAACTGGCACAGCCAATGAAAAATACTCTTGTGTATATCACTCTAGAGACATATTTATGTAAAAATATAACATGGGCAAATTAACTGGATATCTCATTTATTATATGATAAAGATTTTTATGTTTATTTTTCAAGCAAATGGGACCATAAAGCAAACATTTTGTTTTTATAATTATCTGTCAGAGAAAATTAAACCAATGAAACATTCAAAAGCAAAAACATTTTTTTGGTGCACACATGCAGTCTAACATGGTCACATGGTAATATCAGTATTAGCTTTGAAGACATTTGTCGATATTCTTGCATGCTGTAACAAATTTCTTTAGTCCTGTTTATCTGGTCGAGTCTTGGAGACATCTAACACCTGTCAGTGTTTGTGCTGCCATTTGTCTCCGATCGTAAAGGCCACATGTCCTTGCCGATTATGGCCGAGGTTTATCATATCCAATGTGTTAAAATGTCTCTACCTCGTTTTCTGTGTTTTAGGTGATAGCACAAATCCCAGAGTGCCACAGAAATGTGTTTCGGTATTTATGTGCATTTCTACGAGAGCTGCTCTCCCACTCCAGCCATAACAGTTTAGATGTGAAGCTTCTTGGTATGTATGATAGGTTCTTGACTGTCGTAAAGATTTAGCAATCATTTTATAGTCGGGAAGAAAAAAAGTGACAGAACTTGAACAAGGTATACTGTCAAGAGAAACCTAGCTATATTCCACAGAATTCCGATGAGGATTAAAATTATACAATGATATTCCAAGATTTGCGTTTAGATTTATTTATTGTACTCAGTAAAGCAAAGATATTATCAGATTTTGGAGAGGAAATGTATTATGACTCTAGGGAAGACTTTGAGAGAAAACTATAGATTTTGAAAGTAATTATAAAAATCCCTGAATGAGAACTAAGGCTATTATTGGAAACTAAGAAAAGTATACATCATCGTGTCTTTGCTGGAACATTAAGCATGTAATTTTGTGGACTTTCAATATTTCCCTTGCTGACTTTGAGAAGACATTTTTTTATTGTATTCGATTTATCTGTTTTGAAGGGAAATATTGATTTTCAGCTCACCTAGTACGGAGGAAATTTGAGCTTATGTATCTAAACATGTGATCTGTCAACCTTTTTTTCTTGAAATTGCTACTCTTCAGAACTGACTGCACAGATCTTAACCAAATTTAGGCAGGAGTGTTGGTATAGATAAATATAAGTATTTAAAAACCTTGCATTATGTTCTGATGAAGGGATTTTGGTTGTATTTTGTAACAAGGCATTCTTTGCCTCGAAAAGGACTTTATTTTGCACCAACATAGACCATTAAAAAAAACACACCAAGGAGCAGAGGTAACTTTTGATTAGAAAAAAAAAGGGGGTTGTGTCCGTTAAATGAAGTAGAGGTAAAACTTTGGAATACTTTGTAAATTTAGCCAGGAGCAGCTCTCAGTGCAGAGGCCTCGAGTTAAATTTTTTATAGTCCTTCATTGACTAAAACGGTTGTAGTAAATTATGTTTGGAAAATTTATTTTGAACAAATATGATCTGTAGTATTCTTGTCAAAATACTCTCTGGTATTCCTTGGAAATTGCTCAGATTAATTGGGTCAAGTTTGCTGTGTAAATTATGCTATGGTTCTGCAACACAGAGACAGAAGAATTGGAAATCAGTGATGTAAACAGAACCGCTGTTTGATTTTTTTATTTCGCTGAGATAACTGAAATATCTAGGTATGCTAAATAGGCCATTTGTGCCTTTTGTTATGCTACATAAAAGATATATGTTAATGGTCTCAAATAAATATTCTCGGAGAAAAGAACATACAGAATAGAAGGAATGTGGCACATACACTGAAATCAGTTGGAAGTTCACATTAATGCTATTTGAAATTAATTTTTCTGCTAGTTCAAATTTGCTTTTCAGAAAGAAAAACTCCAAATGAAAATGTTGTGAAAATGAAATGAAAATTTGAATAGGTTGAGTTTTTATGACAAATTAATGGTCGGTAATTGTTTTTATATTTTTTTACAACTTTTAAAATGCTAGAGTTCTTTCAGAAAGTTCCTTGCACAGCCCAGAGTGTATGGTATATAGTGATCTGTTAAGGAGACTCTGCAGGGCCCTTTCTGTCATATGATAAATTATTCCTGACAGCATATCTCTTTGACAAGGAATGTAGCCAGTAAATGGCTGGTACTGACAGCCATGGACTAACCCACAATTAACGCTGGCATACATCCTTTTTGGCTAACTTAATCATAGTCAGCATATAAATAGTTGTCAGTTTTGTTTATATATTAGTAATTTCTATGTCAATAGTTGTGGCGATTTTGAATTGATCGCCTCACAGAGTCGCAGCGGGAAGATACCTTCCTTGTATTTCTTCTGTACAGATAGGAAATAAAAGGTCATGTTTGGTCTGTTTTCTTTCTCGGACATTGTCTGTACGACCAGGCAATGGTCCATCATTGTCACAGGGGTTGTCATCAGATGGGAATTGTGTTAGTGAAACACCTACAAGTGCCGGTAGCTTAAATTATGATGCTATGTTACATCTGGGCTCAGGGAATGACCTTCATGTCTCGTCTACTGACAGATCACACCCTAATGTAATAGAAAATATAATGAATTAAAAATAATGTCTTGGTCTAAGACAATTTAATAAATATGGGAAAAAATTGTCGATGTTGAAATACATTTGGCTAGGTGACCAATTTGATTACTTTATTATGTTAGATCAAATATAGTTATTTCATATGTACATCCTGATATTACTTGGAACTAAGCTCACTGGTACAGCCTAGACTGTTTGTCATCAACCCACATAAATGACATCGGATTCCTTATTACACTACAGATTGCTTAAATTCTCCATAATTACTAATTACCTTTTACGCAAAACTTCTACACAATCTATTTCACACTTTATTTTGTCAATAATTTTGACAGGACATGGTACGGTATGACGTTGTACATAATTACGTTTGGCTGTCATAAACAGATTTCATTCAAACAGGAAATTATGCATTTTAATTGAGCAATATTTATTTGTATTTTGATGCCTTAAATCATTTCTCTTTGGCATGGTAATGGCGTATATTGTCCTGTCTCAGATTACTCTTGTTTTTCACTTAATCATCATGACAAGAAGTTATAATTTCCGTAACAACATTAGGATTCAGCAGCTTATTAAGTTTTAAGGTTTTTTTGTTGTTTTGTTACTTTTTTAAAACATTTTAATCTTGAACAGAGATTATTCAATCAATATTTGTCCTTTCTCTTTAAAAATGCATGTTTTTTTTCATTCATCACATAGCACTATTTGACATGTTTTAGCTGTCTTTTTCCTTCTAGGTAGGTTTACTTATAAAAGATATGAAATCATGTTTTCCCATGGGCATTTTTGTAAGCAATATATATTTGCATTTCAAATTCATAAATCCCTAATCTGCATGGTAACAGTGTAAATTGTTTTTCCCTGCGTTATGCTGTTTCTAATTTAAAGTTTAAAACTTATAATTTCAGGTTTAATTCAAATGTTGTAAAATTTCTGTGAAATAATCTACATCGGTATACGTTCTTAAATTTGATATAAATCACAGTAATTGCCTCTCATTTTTTTATGATTAAAATATTTTTTATGAGAGTTATCTCCCATCTTAAATTGTTTAACTGCATCATTTTACATTCTGATTAACATGTTTTATGCCCAAAATATGTAAATAAAAGTCATAAAATCTTTGGCAACTGTTAAGTATATAAAACTCACTACACATTGTCATTCACTTTATCAGACTTAAAATTGCATTGGATTTTTATGTCCCTTTACCCGCCTGTCCATCTGTTTGTTCAATTGTTTGTCCGTTCATTATAATTTTGTCCGTTCATCATAATTTTCTACGGAGCATTGCAAAAATTTCTTTAAAAGATCTTTATAAGGAGACGTGCAGTATAAAAGTACAATAACTCTCTTCTTCATGATTTAGGAGTTATTGCCCTTTGTTATTTTTCATACACAGATTTTGTCTGTATCTCAGAACAACAACTATAAAAGGTGTCAACATAAACGTTCATAGGTAGATAGATCTTGATAAGGAGAAGTGCAGTGTAACTCTCCTTTGTTATTTAAGGTGTTATTCCCCTTTGTTATTTTTCATACTTTGATTTTGTCCCATTGGGGAAACATAACCCGTCTCTAAAAGCATTTAATTGGGGACAAAATCTACAGGGAGATGTTGTTAAACATGTTTTAACATGTCTTTATATATTTAAAAAAAAAATCTCATTTTTCAACTACATAGGGTTTAATGAGGAAAAGACGGGGGTAGATCTAGAGTGTGTGTATTAGTTTCCATAAAACACCAATAGATACTATTGCAGCAAAAATTGATTGCAAATTACACAGACTTATTGTTTTTCTTTGTCCAGTAGACAATCATTTGTTACGACCTTATTTGTTTTGATGATGTAGGATACGTGTTTGACTGTCGTTTTATATGCGCGGTAGTGAACATTTGTTGATTGGGAATTAATCAAGTGTTGTGTTTTTTTGCTCCCATCATAATAACACTGAGAGCTGTCATGCTGGGCTGTCGGTCAGAATTTCCATACGATCTCACTTAATCCTGCGGATCAATCAACTTTGTCATCGTCAGCACCCCCTACTGGTCACCAAACTGCTGCAACTGGTCAGCGGTCATTTTAATGGTCATTCCAGCGGTCAATGCTGTCAGAGTCCGAGAGGCTCAATTGAGATCAATATGCTAACACACCAAGTGTCAGTTTTGCCTTCTTATTGGAATTTTTATTGTCTTTCCGGGTTATTTTGTTGGTCTGTTATTTGATATAAAATCAATCTACATATTAGGAATGAAATTTGTTTGTTTGACATTGTTATGATTTGGATAACTTACAGTATTTATATTGAATAAAACCCATTAGGGACTAATTTTATATTACCTCTGTCCAAGTCAGGCATATTACCGATCATTGATATCAAGGGGACAACACATATTATATCTAACTCAAAGTCAGGGGGTGGGCTTATTACAGGACATTGATATCAAGGGGCCAAAACATATAACATCTGACTCAATATCAGGGACTGGGCTTATTACAGGACAATGTTATTTGAGGGGCCAACACATAACATCTGACTCAAAATCAGGGGATGGGGGGGGGGGGGGGGCTGGCAATACATATTAAATCCATCTGAAAGTCATGGGATGGATTTATTATTTGACAGTGATATTTGGGGGCGAATTCATAACATCTGACTCTAAGTCAGGAGGTGGGCTTATTATAGGACATAAAAATAGTATTGTTTGGAAATTTGAAATAATGACAGATAAATGTTTGCCTATTACCAGCTATCAACTTATTGCAAGATAAACATGATATGTTGTTAACAGAAATTATGGAAATTGTAGAATTAAATTATAAACATGGCATAAAATTTTTTTATAAATATGTTCCATTTTTCCGAACATTATGACTTTTCTTTTGGAAAATATACTCATATACCTGTTCATTTTCCAATTTTTTTCCCTAATTGTTTGTACCTTCAAGACTTAAATTTCAACCTTTTTTTCAATCTTTTATT